GCATTCTTGTAGTAGAGAGAGAGAGAGAGAGAGAGGTGTGGGAGAAGCAAGCATTCATGTAGTGGAAGATAAGCAACCAATTCTTTAAGTTTGGTAACATCAACATGAAACCTAAGGAACTTGTCCTCCATATGGGTTCGAACATCTCTCTCTCTCTCTCTCTCTCTCTCTCTCTCTAACAACTAGTAGACTTCTAGAATTTGATTAACAAAGACAAATAGAGGGGCACATAACTATTCGGTATGGCTCTTATAATAGTATAAAAAGATGACATTTTCCTTTGTGTTATAAAGTCACTAGCTAATTTTCCAAGTCTCTCGAGATCGTATACTGTGACACCATTTCTCTTTTTCGCAAAGATGTCACAATTGTTAATAGTTGTTAGATGTCAAATTAGATGGCTTGAGGCGTGTCACAGAGTTTTGGATCTTTTTCTTTCTTTTTGAACCAATTGATTTGAAATTTGATAGACAATAATGTTTGTCACCTCTTTGTATTAAAAGCAAATGGTCTTTGTATACTTTTCCTTCTCTACATTCTCCCAAATATCAAAATTTTATATTTTCTACTGTGTTTATTTATTTTTTAGATCTTTTATAACTTTTTGCGTTCTCATTGGTGTGTATTTACCTAAATGCAGGTTGTGGTTATTGTAGGGGGTTCCCTAAGTGGACAAGACATTTGTGTTGAGCTACTAAATGTTGCAAAAGAAGTTCACCTTAGTACAAAGACCTTGGAAATCACTGAAGGCCTATCAAAAGTTATCTCTAAAAATAAGAATTGCCACCTTCATTTGCAGGTTTGATTTCAGGAAGAATTATCCTTCTTTCTTTCTCTCTACATGTTAATCCCTTTTTCTGTATGTATCTATCTATCTATTTATTTATCTATCCTAAAAATCATTGAAATTGTTGTTGCAGATAGAGTCGTTGCACGAGGATGGAAGAGTTGTATTTGTTGATGGTACTTGGGTTATTGCCGATTCCATTATTTACTGCACCGGGTAAAAATTTGTTACATTTTCTCTTGTATTATATTGGATTTATCCAGATAACTAACATGAATTCCACAAAAACTTAGAATTTAAGGAAAGAATCCAATGTTTTCAAAATATTAAAATAAGACCGTTTAATCATTGATACAAAAAAGTCATTGCATTCCTTGGCCATTAGATGTGATATTGGATGAGTAGGAATGTGTTATTTTTTATGCTAGAATTCGGAACCAATTTTATCCGACTTTGAGTGCGGCCAATGGCGGTCATTCAAGTTTTCATCTACCAGAGTAGATAGTCTCATAGTATATACTATATGGAAAGCTTTCTATACTCCCCTACAACATAGAAGATCTATGCTTCCTTTACCATCTAGCCATACAATTTTGATCAAGAGAGCTGCTCACTATTTGATCTTAGATCCAACGTCTCAAAGTATTTTATTTTTAATTTTTTTATACGAATTGTATAGAAATGAAATTGGTTCGTGCCATCTTCTCATTGGGGCGCACCTATAAAAAATATTAAAAATAATTTTTCGATAAAAACAAAAACCCCTTGAAACCTTCAGGGGTATTTTGGTCATTTTATTTTATTGAAAATATTTTTTTTATATTCTTCGCTAGTGCAAGTTTAATAGAGGATTGGATCTACAAAAAATGGTGTTAAATAGTTTGTAGAAAACAAATTAAAAATAAAATAGTGTCGATATGTGACATTATGATTGGGGCAATCTTAGCCCTCAATTCAAAATGGACAGTTGGATAAGGAGAAGTATAAGGATAGAAAGCTTGTTCTATAGTCTAAGCACAATTAGTTCGTCAGTGGGTGCAAGAGTCCACTAAGTCACTACCGTCCATCTCTAAGATAGATGTTATAAAAAACCATGGGGCTAAAATGAATTTAGACGGTGCAGAAATTTTTCTTAAAAATTCGTATTGTAGAACTACTGAATCCAATATTTTCAAAATATATGTATAGGAAAAAGTTTATATGAGGATGCTACCTTATAATGTAGAACTACGGATTCCCCTAAAAAACCCATCGGAAAAGGTAGTTTTAATATTGAAATACCTTTTGATTGATCATCTCGACGTCAAGATGTATGACTATGAAAATAAAAAGATTTTAAGTCTCAAAAATAGTGCATTTTACAATATATTATCTGCACGTCCATTTTCAAGATTTTCATATGTTTACATATCTATTTGATTTTAACCATTTTTTAAATTTAATTTTTTTTAATTAGATATAAAAATAAATTTTGAGATAATCCTAAAAACATTTTACATCAAAATTATATACCATGATAAAATTTGAAGGTGCACCTTATCTCTACACCTACTGATGCATCCGTATGCAAGTTGCACCTTTTAAATATTGATTTTTTTTTTTATAATCATGATCATCTTAACTTCCATCATGAATTTCTAAACTTTTAGATTAAAAATCTATTTTTAAGATAGATTTAAGTTGGGGCCCACATAGGCCAGCTGGCGCACATAAAAACCCCATCCACAATCCAAAAAAACATTTTTGAAGTAAAAAATTAGTGGGTGAACTTAAGGCGTTTCCGGGACAACTTCTAACCATTGACCCTGGTGCACAAAAGATATAAGATATTGTACTCCTCTGGTACCAAACTGTGTATTTATTCCTACTCCCTCTAACAAAACAATGTGGAGTGGCATTCCTAGGATACCAAATTTTTAGTACGTAACCTCTTCAACCTAACTACTAACCTTGATAAAGGAAAGAGCACCCTATGTAATGTGCCTGAAAGTGGCCATCGCAACAATTCAATTTTCGGAGGGTAAGATATATGACTGTTGAAGAATTCAAAATCTTGCTTTTTTTTTTTTAATTATCATCTAGTAATTCTTAAATAGATCCCAAAATTTCTGATAAAAAAAATCCTCCCAAGTAAATTATTCTGCTAGAGAATAAGTGTATGGTTTGCTCATAAAATAATGTAATATATACTTCCACTTGCAAAATAAGACAATAGCACAGTACATGTAAACCATTGTCATCATTTTCAAATCCTGTCCCAAAAATTATAAGCCATTTAAAGTAAGAGTAGTGATCCTATGAGACCCTCTCACACCTATGTGTGTAGGACCCCAAAAAATTATCATTAAATTTGGCACAGATCTCTTAAAAACTTATCACATGGGTGTGAGACTTGATTTTTCTAGATATCTATGTCAAATTTATGGTGATCCTTTAGGATCCTACACACATAGGTGTTGGAAGGTCGCACACGATTATTTCCCTTAAAGTAATTATAATTGAGAAAGTATAGCACAAACCGGGCATGTCTATTCAATTCAATAGACAAGCAAGCTATTGCTTGCCCTATTGTAGGATTGACGGTGGAGATGAAGTCTTGCACAAATGAACGGAATGCAGTGAGTACATTGGATCATCTCTACCATCCGTCTAGACGACCCATAATGGATGGTTTGTTTATGTATTATGTTGCATCCAAGTCACGTGTCTTTAAAATGGTGAACTTTTTATGAGTCTTTAAACACATATTTTGATGTCTAGAGAAGTTAGTCTGATTTTGATTTGGCAGCTGGAAATCGGTCCAGTAAAAACACCACACGCCATAACATTGCCCTGCCATATTTTTGTGAGGGCCATAATTTTAGCCTATTTTAGAACTAGGTAATTTTTGGTATGGACCGTCAATCATGGAAGGACTTATAGTTTTGGGATGGTATGGGTCCCAACCTAACTCCCCTAAAACCCCTTTATATATATATATATATATATATTTAAGTTTATCTAATATTTTTTTAGATCATCTCTAAATCTTCATCCTATAAACCTTTATTTTTATTTAATTTTTAGCATTTTCTGGATCACCAATTCATACCGGTCAAATTGTTGATCCAACAATTCAATACAAATTTGTGGATAAACGATCTGCCCCACCAATCCAGGTTTTGAAATACTGGCCTAATCAGATCAAAATCAGGGCGGTGTCTAGAAGCATCAAAGATACGTGTCTAGAGAGAGAGAAACTTTTCTCATAAGCAAAATTACCTAATGATTTCTAAGGGCAATGCATGAAATGAAATGTATGTTTTCAATAATAATTGAATTGTTCATTTTTTTTTTGTCCCCAGATATTCCTATTCATTTCCATTCCTTGATACAGAAGGAATAGTGGTCGTGGATGATGACAGGGTGGGACCTTTGTATGAGCACACTTTCCCTCCATCTCTTGCTCCCTCTCTAACTTTTGTTGGCATCCCAAGAAAGGTATGATTTGGCTTTAGGTAATAGATTTTACATTTGACAAATTATTTGTATGCATTATTTTATACTTTTAAGAAAGGAATGTACTAATTTTTTATAAAAATATAAAAGTTATACATATTTGTCAAGGGATATTGAACTTTTCATATATCTAAATAAGTTATTTAGAATTCTGAAAAATAAGTAGCAACATCTTTTTTGTGTCAAAGGTGGTCCTCCCTTTACCTTTCTAAAACAAACAAACATGCCCATGTTAAAAAGGAATTAGCCTAAGGAGGTGTCCTTTCTTTGACTATAAATTCAAAAAGAATGGACTTATTTCTTTCTTTTCTCAATAGAAGAATTGCATAATCAAAGAGAATAAAGAAAGTGAAATTTTGTATAAAAAAATATTTATAGTCCTTCACATGTACATCAATCTTGTTTTTATATATATAGGGGAAGGTGAAATTAAAAATAACCCAAAAAAAAAAAAGAAGTTATTTCAAATTTCTTAATCTCTCACTATAATAAGCTTTTGAAGTGCACAGATTATAGGGTTTCCTTTCTTTGAATGCCAAGCAATGTGGATTGCCCAAGCATTGTCTGGTAGAAGGCAACTCCCATCAAGTGAAGATATGATGGAGGCCATTAAGGAATTCTATCATTCAAGGGATGTGGCAGGCATACCAAAGCATAACACACATGACATTGCCAATTCAGTGGTTAGTATTCAACTTTTGTGATAACATTCCCAAGAAAATTAAGGACGCGTTTGTTGGCTGGACGACAAACGTTTCTCTGAAAAAAAATTGTTTTTTTCTAGGAAGGAGAATATCTTTTAAAAGGTTTAAATAAGTTATGAGTACTTGTGTTTGATAACTTGCTGGAATGTTAAAGAATTTTGTGTTTGATAACAAATATCTATTAACAATATAAACTTAAATATAAGGAAATTATCATATATATACCTTTATTTTAATCTAATTGGAAAAAAAAATCCTCAATTTTCATAAACCTCATCTACACCCTTTTTTGACATTTTCTTGATCGAAATAGCTTCACAGTAGTAGTATTATTGTTAGCCATAGCATTACAGTACTTTAAGTATTGTAATGACTACGGTATTTTATACGATATTTTAAATACCGTAATAACTCGAAGTATTTTAAATGCCAAAATTGAAGAAAAAAAGGTATGGACGAGGTTTATGAAAGTTGACGGTTTTTTTTTAATTTATCAAAAATTAAGTTATATTTCTGATAATTTCTCTTAAATCTATAAATAATATAATAGATAATATATATTTTATTAATGTATATTTTTATTATATATAATATATAATAAATATGTAAACTACAAATTACATTATATATAATATAATATAATAAATAAATTAATAATATTATATCACATAATATTATATTATAGTAATATTAAATGTTATATATTAAATTATATTAATAATACTAATATTGTGTATTCTATTATACATATATTATCTAGTATTATATAACATAGTATAATATAAAATAATAAATTATTTATATATTATACATTCAATACTATTGGAATATAAGTTTTATATATTAAATAATATATTCGGAGAGTTTGGTTTTCTAGGCCCCTCCAAAAACTTAAACTTCCTCATTTTAAAAGGCAAAAAAGGACTTTGGGGAAATTTGGGGTTCCCATTACTGTAGCAGTTCCCCTTAGAGGGGGAGGGGGAGGAGGGGGGGGAAGGGAAACAGAGAGAGTCTTTTAGGGCGTGTTTGTTTGCAGGAAAGAAAATTTTCCGAAAGCTAACGTCTCTAATACTGTAGCAGTTCTCTCACAACCAAACGTGGAATGGCTAGGGTCTTATGAACGCTATCTTTTTGGAAAGTTTTTGTTCGTGGAAACAAACACGCCGTGAAAGACTCTCTCTCGTGTAAATGTAATTGTAAATGTGCGAGCTTTCCTATATTTAACCCCACACTATTTAGCAACGAGTGCATAAGTGTACTCTTCTTGGAGCACGCTATACACTTACACTCTCAGGCAAAATACCACCTAAAGATGATTTTCTAAATCTAAAAGTTTAGGGTCCACCTCAAAATCATTACACGATTATTTTCAATATCAAAAAAGGAATTTTGAGCTTGTAGAATCTCACCATCTTTTCTGTTGAATGGATTCATAAAATTTTATTTTGAATTTTATTTCTGTTTTTAATTGGTAGCTCGGTCGAGGAGGTTACATCTTAAAATTTTGGCATTATTCCTAACTGGGGTGTTTCTTGATGGAGTAGATGTACAATATGCTCCCCATGAGCGTAGAATATTTTTGGATTTTAACCATTCTCTCTCTTTCTCTCTCATGTTTCAGTATTGTAATTGGTATGCTGATCAATGTGGGTGTCCTCATCTTGAGGAGTGGAGGACAGTACTCACTATATCAAGTGTAAGAAAACAAATCACACATTTGGAGACTTTTAGGGATGAATGGAATGATGAAGATGAACACTATCTCCAACTGGCCTATTCAAGCCCTCATTACACCCAACATGGAATTGAAGATCCACAACAAGAAATGCAATAAGCTTTTATGTGTTTCTTGAAATCACTGGAGAAATGTATTTCCAATTTTGATTTGGTGCATAAATTTAAGTACCCTAGTAGTGTTCTAGTCTTTGTTTATTTATTCTTTTGGTATTGAATAGTGATTCATATAATTTAAACTGTGCTTGAGAGGTCATCACTCGATGAATTGTATTGTGTTTACATTAAGTTATAGAAGAGAGGGATTCTCTATTTCAATTGGAGTTGTTCTTTTTTTCAAGGTTGTATACAATAATATCATTTATTTTAGATCCAAGGAGGTCACCTTCACTCATGGCTATTGGATGTAAAATATGACAATTTAAAGTATATCACACCATTTGAGAATATATTTGGATTCG